CAGCCGCGATTCTTGCGTATAATACCCTTGGCACACCATCCATCGACTCTGCTCGGCGTCATGTCGCCACGCTCCCCATTCAGTCATCTGTCGGAACGCCAACCTTAGATGAGATCAACCATAACCTTTCTATCTACATCGTTCCGGACCAGACACGATCAGCGGCGGGCTCAAGGATCACTGGCATGACCATGGTCATTGACGAAATCAAGATACAAGAACGCCTGCGATGGGATGCACGCCGTAACATGATCCTGGGTGTCTGTCGGGAGCATGGGCACAATTACGCCTTAGAGTTTCGCACTATGGTCCAAGCAAACGCATTGCTTGATGGCTTGAATACACAAGATGTCCACCTGGCAACCGAGGTAAGCTGTCGTTATAGCACAATACCGTCGACTATTGCTTATAGTTCCTTCAAGGCTTCGGTCATTGGCACCTGTGTCCTTACCGACAATCCTCAAGAGTACACCGTGAAGCCGCTTGTTTTATCGCCTACTTGCAAGCGTGAAGACTCCGTGCGCCACGGAAGAATGCTTCAAATCACATCGGATGCCTTGCGCGCAAAACATGGGCTGCTTGGTCGCCGTCTCTACTGCATTGCGTCAGATGGCGAGTCAAGACGACGCAAAAGTTTGGTCGCTCTAACTCTTGTCCGCAAGCTCCCTCCCTCGTCACCGCTGTATCCTCTTCTCTCGCCACTCAGCCTTCTAAATACTCATTGCGGCGACGATGACATCACACCAGACTGGGATTGGAAGCACAACATGAAGAGATTCCGCAATACACTTCTTCGTCAAAAGGGTGTGCGTATTGACGGCACGAACATCACCACGTCCATTCTTCGGGTACACCTTCTGCAGAGTGGGATGGCTGAGACCACCGTCAACGCTGTCCTCTCTCCGAATGATAAACAAGATGTCGTTCTTATGCTTCAACTCCTGAACACGCTCGCCCATCTCCCAGACCTACCAGCAGATAGCCCACCTACCTCGCATTCGTCACGCCGGATCCTCCGCCTGCTTGGACAGATATACGACCTTTTCCTGAAGGCATATCTCGACATATCTCTCTCCCTGCACGAGCAGATGTCGAATCTCAGTGCGGCGGCACATCTCGTACTGGCACTCTATTCCCGAGACAAGGGAAATTTTATCCCTGCGCAATTGTACTTCGACTTTATATCAATGGTCAAAAATGTGTACTTTTGTGTGGCGAAAGCACAGCTCGACAATCCGGATAGCTCGTTCTGGATCATCTTACTCGGTACAGATGGACTAGAGGATCTCTTTGGAAAAGTACGGACAATGATCGGGAACGATACGAACGCCGATCTACTGCAGCTCGGTGACCGGATCGACGGAGCTGTTCAGTGTGTCAAGATCCTACAAGAGCATCCAGACTGGGCCCCTCGAGCTCGTCGCCTCCATGTCAAAGCTCTCGATGAGCAGGGATCCGAGATATCTTCTAAGCTCGACCACCTCAGCCCGCGGTCATGGAAGGGGGACGTCAAAGTCGGGAATGTCATTCCCTTCAGCTCGTGGCGAGCGGGGCGAATCCGAGCTGACAATATCTTGCGAGATTTTGCGCTTACAAGTCCATTTGCGCAAATGGAGGCTGACCTGGGTTACGACATCTTATGTCCGTTTGGTCGCGATGCAATGGTGCTTGCGGATGGGACATTGGAGACAGGGGAAGAGGAGGAGACGGAGGAGGAAGCATCGGATGCAAGTGGGTCTGTTGGCCAGCCTTCCTCCGAATCAGGGATCCATGATGGCGGGCAGATACCTCAACGCGATGAAGATTCTCTGCCCGATCTAGATGACCTCGCGAACATTGAAGAGGCACACGCTGAGACCGGGGCTAAGAAATACGAGGCCTGGGTCTTGCTCGATGTCGACGACAACGACGGTCACAGTGACAACAACATCCGGGGAAAGAGGCAGCATAAATCAGCTGTCATGGCGGAGTACTCTAAGCCCCTTGCTTCCGCCGACTCGAAAGACAGACTGAAGCGGGTCCGCGGCTTCACTCAATATAATGACCACCGATCTCCATCTACCAATCTGGAGCCCTTGCTCGGTGACGATGACACAGAACTCGCCAATATATTCACTGCCGAGGACCCTGCTATTACACTTGTTCAATGCGCCGACTCTATATTCCTTGCCGTCATTCAGATCCTTGATATTCGCTACGACAACACATCTGTGCATTCATTGCCGACTCGTCTTCTACATGAGCCCAATGTCCGCATTCGGGCACAAACTATGTCTCTTGTTGAGTTCGATTCATCCCATCAACCAAACCGTCCGGATTTCGAGTGGACAGGCTCTTTTGAAACACTTCCAGCTCTTAGAGAACTAGAGGGTCGGTGGGTCAACTTGATCAATCCAGTTCTCCAACAGCGATCTCGTGGTGTCTCAGCAGGGACTGTGACATATGTCTTTCAAACATCGGAACTCCGTCAGATGGCCTATACTCTGTTCGCACAAGTCAGGTCCGAGAGACATCGCCTTCCGTCTCTTGCCTCGCCGACCGACACATTTCCGTATCGGAACATGGCAGGTAAGGATTCCTGTCACTTATTTACCGCAATGTCTGTGGTATTGATAACTTTCCAGGTGAAGCATGTTTCGTTTGCGAGACTAGCACCGATTCTACGACCCAAAGCAGGGACCCTGACGGTGACAGCTGTCCCTGTTGTCCTGCCATCTCCATATCTGGGCTCACTGGCCCTCAACGGCTGCAGCACATGGGCGCTCATATCCTGCATGACCCGAAACTCAAGGACGCAGACAGCCCATGCGGTTTCTGTCTCAGCTCGTCATGCGTCATCTACCTCTCTCATCGGCGCAGTGCCAACATAAACGAGCAGATCGATATGTCGAAGTCACAGTGTCCACATCTCATCAAAGTGTCGCTTAAGGTTGCCTCGGAACACTCTATGACATCCCCATGCACCAACGCACCGATTCGTTGCCCCCTCTGTCCACAGCCTCACTCTCCCGCTGTGTGGAAATATAACCTTGAGCAACACATCCGTATACATCATCCTATGGCTAACGTCGAGCTGTATAAGGACACATACGAGGTTACGGGGCCCGAACTCGTCCTGATGAAAGGCGTCTACTTAACAAAACCAAGAAAGTCGAAGAAGAAGCGATTGGCTTCTCGTGTGCTCCCCATTTCGGACTCTCATAGTACTCGGATGGTTATGTGGTGAGTCAGAATGCCTTTACTCTTCTGTTCGCTTGTCTTGTCCTGACCACATCTTGTAATTCTAGGACTAGTGTGGATGTTGACGAAGATGCCGATGAAGCTGTTCTCGGTACTACATTGGCAGACGACAGCGAACCACCTCTTGACGGCCACCTACCTCTTGACGGCGAACCACCTATCGAAGACGAACCACCTCTCATAGACGAACTCAGAACACTTA